GCAAGATTTTCCATAGCTAATCAGACCATTGGGCCAGCAAGGCCAGTGACCAATGCCTGGAGCTTCACGGAAAGCAACCTCCCCGCCCCCCTCCAAATCACCAAAACACAACCAACCTGCCTAGCCCTGTTACCTGGCCAGCCATCAATCCACCGAGTGGAGACCCGCTCAGAGGCCTGGAAATGTCACAGCCTCACCTCAGCAAAAATGTCCTGAGGGGTCACTAACTTACCCAGCCCTTTTAACAGCTGGCTGCAGGTTCTCGCTACGCCTGGCAGGGGAGGGGGAAAACCCTTGCCCACATCAGATTTCAGGCACCACTCCTGAGATCTGCGGAGGAAGCAAGCCCTGATGGGGGAGATTATTTACCAAGCCACCAGGGTCACAAGACAAATATGAGAGTCTCCCAGTGCAACCGGTACTTCCAGACTGTGCCGAACCAGCCTGCGCCTGTGCCAGCACATGCACCTCTGTGAGCACAGAGACCAGAATGCAGGCGCCGTGCGGCTGAAAGGCAGCAAAGCAATCTCTCCTCTGCAATGAGAGCACCGCAGCTCCCCACTGGAGTCCTGGGCCCGGCAAAGCTGTTCCCAAAGCCACGGGCCCCCCTCCCACCGGCAAAATGCTCCTCTTCTCCAGCCTGACAGGTGGGCTGTCCCCGCCTCCCTACCTCCTTTCACGCAGGGGCATCAAACTGCTTCTTAATGGTTTCCAAAATGCACATAAAAAGGGCGAGGGGAGGAACGGACATCCCTGCTGTGCTGTAAAATGGCACCTGATGCGATTTCACTCTCACGCTGTGTCTGGGTGTAGGACCGACGGCCAAAGAAACAAACACCGAACACGACTGACGTCTGCCGGGGCACCTGAACCAACCTCTTGTTCTCTTCATTGCTGAATGCATGTGTGAGCTCTCGGGACCTGGGGTGAAATTCCTGGGGACGGGGTGCATAATGCTTGCACTGGCCTCATCTGCACAGGAGGCTTTACCCTCGCTGAAGGCTTTTCAGGGCCAAGAATTCTATTCTAGGCCAGGGCCACCTTCCAACTATGAAAAACTAAATGGAGAGTTAAGGGTTAAAAGATTTTCAAGAAAAAAATCCAAGTCTGCAGTAGGATTTGGGATTAATTTGATTCTCATGGCTGCAGTCACCCTAACGAGATGTACCTGTTCCCTCGCCATCTGCTAATGTCAGAGCCTGGATTGGCCACTTAGCAAGAGGGGCAAATTCCGCCTGATAGGCCCACATTAGCCAGCCTCCTCTGCACGTCACCTGGCTCCATTCGCCTCAGGCAAGCTGCTCCCAGGAGCTGCACACGAGATCGTTGTTTAGAACACGATTACCAACAGGCATCTCGTACAGTCAGACAAGCGGTGGCTGCATTTAGCTCCAATGGAGGGAGTTTTCTAACTGGAGTGTTCTTGCCCTAGTGCCCGTTTCTGGACACGGGACCATCCCATGCAGCTCTACACACTTTCACAACTACCTAATTGCAAAGAAAAACAATGGCTAGGCAGCTCCCCAGCCCAGGTCTCTTTACAAATCCCAGAGCTTCAGCTTCAGTTACCAGGAGCTGGCGAGTGAGAAAAATATAAACCAGAGTCTCAAAAGGAGAAAAGAAGGAGCTACCCAGCAGCACCCTTCCCTCCTGCGGAGGATGGAATTTAGCAGGAACAATACTCCCTGCCTGGAAGCCAGTTAAAAGGGGCAACAGGTAGCCCCCAGTCTAGAGAAAGAGCATCCTGCAAACTGCCACTTTGCACCAGTGGGGCAATTAGCTGCTCCAGATCCTATCAGCTCAGCTGCTTCCATTTGCTATTGTGTGAAACTTATTTTACCAAAAGCTTCTGTTGACAAGTGTGTCCAAAGGGAAGTGGAAATTCAACAGCAGCTCACAGTCTACAGCTAAAAATAGCAGTTTGATTAGGGGGGGAAATTGGTGTGTGTTGCTTTGCAGGACTATTTATTGAAGAACTAGCTCTTGAATAGTTCAAATTCAAGCTACAAAGGAAGGGAATTTATCTGGGAAGCTACCTAGTGACCTCTCTCCACAATAACCCATTAAAGAAGGGTTTACATGTTTCCGAAGGAGAAGGAGAGAGAACGAATCAAGGTCCGTTCACAGCAAAGAAGAAAGGGAGATAAACGTTGGATAAAACTCACTTCTTTTGTTTAAAAGAAAAAAGTGTAGAACTGAGTGCGTCACAGAGCGTGCTGCAGGTGTACAACATGTACATAGCTCTAAAACCATTTCATTGCATCATTTTCTTTTAACATTTGTAAGATCAAAGCAAACGTTCTGGACAATTCCTAAAAAACACCAAGCGCGTCAAACATGCTGCCATGCACTCGAAAGCGGACGTGTTTAATTCTGAGATGCAGACGCCCACCGCGGAGCCATTGGTCTCGAACAATCATACCCTACCCCTGAGCTGCTGGGGACAGGCCTCAAGGTTCTACAGTTCAGAAACTCCCCCAAGCAAATCCGAGGCAATTATTCTGGATAACAAAACTCAGTATGCACAGACAAAAAGCCATGAGAATGACAGGCTTTTCTGCTCCCACCTCATTCCCTAGCAAGCCAAGTGTCTGATTCACCACTGCACTACGCTGGTGTAGACCATGTAGTACCCCACCGTTAACAGGCCCTAAAGGTTTAGCAGTGCAACTTCTGCTGAATTTTGTTACTGGGTGTTCGGAAAGACTTTATACAGACACATCAGTTCAATAATTCCCCAGCTCTGAACCATCGCTTTGTGTATTCAGTCTCCACAGTTTCTGCCTCTAGGTAAACACTGGTAGCTGAAGCCTTTCCACTTCATTGTTTCATCCCTTGCTCTACCACCTCCAACAGCTGCCCTGCCAACCAGTTCACTGCTGCTGCTGCTCCTGCAAAGGGAAAGACCCTCTTTTCTCGCAAGACAGAGGGTCCTTTCGGCAGCGCACACTTCTCACAGGTCAGGAAGCCCTTAGTGAGGACTTCACGGCTGCATCTTGCACGGCAGAGCTAGACCAGCTACTAGGGGTAAACGGTGCTAATCCCACAGCTATAAATTAAGCTATCAGGCAAGGGTGAGATTTAAACATTCCAGAGCGAGAGTATTCCGACTTAAGGTTTCATATGGAATATAATCTCACTTCTCTTTCTGAATGCAACAGTCATCGATAGGAAAAAATAAACAAGAGCCTTAATTAACCTTCCCAGCAGGTTTCTAGCACAAGCGCCCAGCCAGGTCCTGGCTAAATTTAAAGGTGCACCCAAATTTGTTTGCTAAATGCCAACATTTTATCAGCACTGCTACAAATAAACCACTTGTGTTGACTCCCGTTTCGTAAGGCTCTCGGTGGTTGTGGAGGGCTGTATTTATGGCTTCCTGCATGATCTCAGCCGAGGACACAGACAAAAACAAACAAACAAAAACCCAAAACCATTTGTCAAAAGGAAGAGAGTAATGAGAGAAAGGAACCTTCCTGCAGCACATTCCTCACCAAGGTGAGGTCTCCAGTCTTGAGAGATTTCCCCCCCCTTTTCTTGCTAGCCTCACCTTGCACAGAAGAACTGGTTTTATTATTACGCAATTGTATCCATTATACAACTAAAACAGGAAAGACACTGAGTGCTGTACAGCAACTGAACGTAGTGTAGAGCAGCACTTCTAGGAGACTCTTAGTGCAAGCTACAATCCATCTATAGGGGTTACTGTGTCATTTAGTGCATCAGTGTTGGGCCAGACGTGGGGAACAACTGGGCTTGTGTGAGGGTGCAGTGAAGCCCCGGGCTGCGCAGGGAAGACATGGACACTACCCCTGTATCCGAATGCAGCCAGTGACATTTCGAAACAGCAGTGCAAGTTCCAAGGAACAAGTAGGCATTAGCGGGAAAGCCAGTCGTCGTGAGTGCACACAGCATGCAGAGTGGGTCTACAGCCGCACGCAGGTGTGTAACGATAATAGACGGATGTGAAGGCTGCCCACACCACGGAGGGGGATTGGTTTGGCCTGGTACAAGGTGGTATAATAACCAGGAGTCGCAGGTTTCCAATAACAAGGAAAATCTAGGTTAACTGTCAGGAATTGCTCCTAGGGGACGTGCTCTTGCTGCTTACGGAACAGTCTCCCAAGGGAAATGGTAAAAGCCCAGGCCCTGGAGACATTTACAACTGGATTAAATAAAAACAGCACGAATTGGCAGAAAAATCCCACCCCTGGAGGTAGCTGCGCCCTGTTTCAGCTCGGTGGGTTTGGGTTTGGTGAAGCGGGATGGAAACAGAGTTTCTAACCCTCAGGGACTAGCCCCTTGTAATACAGTGTAGGGCATGACCCTGCATTGGCCCGGGGGGAGAGGGGGGCAAGGAGAGGGAGAAAGGACCCAAGAAACCTCCCCATCTCTAGTTTCTGTGAGAACAACGCAGTTGTCAGTTCAAAGGTCCAACTGCCATAGGTCTTAGAAGAGTCCCAGCAAGGCAAATTGTAGGAAACTATGAAAATACCCACCCTGGCCTCCCCCAATAACCCATCACTCTGTCTCCTCCTATGGCGTGCGGGGGTCGGGGGTGTCACTAATTCTGCTGTATTACTTTAAAACCCCTCACCTATCTGGGCAAGGGGCACTGCCACGATTCCCTGCGTGGGAGGAAGACACAGATCTGCGGCTGGGTCTGGTGTGCCCCACACGGGGAAGATCAGCACCCAGGCTGCTATCATCACCCCATGCCAGCACATCAAAGCTGGCAGGCTGCCTCCTCCTGGGGGCAGGGGGCTCTGCAAACCTGCGTGGGGAGCAATGGGGGGATGGGGGAGAGCAGGAGAGGGAATGGAGAGAGTTGGGGCCCCAACAGGAGGAGTGGGGTGAGGGAAAGGGCGTTCCAGCAGGCAGGAGGGGAAAAGAGGGGTCCCAGTCCTGACTACTGAATCCAGGATGCAACATTCTCATGAACATTTACCAGCCAAGCCACAAAATCTCCCCTGCGCCCCCACCCGGCCTGTCTGCCCCCTCACCTGAGGTGTCCCACATGTTGAGCTCGATGCGCTGCTTGTCGATCTCGAAGCTCGCCGTGTAGTTCTCGAACACGGTGGGGACATAGTTC